AAATCGAACGGACAGAAGAATTAATGAGCGCAGGACTCAAGGAAACGCGGAACACGGGGAGACGCAATTATTAAAAAGTACCTGACAGATGCGGCAGATGCGACGCGTGGCAGAAACGTAGGCACGGCATAAAGGAAATATGACAGGTGACCTTATTTTGGGCAATTAATGAGGAATTATTTGAAGAAGTGGGCGGGAAACTCATTAGGAGGTCGATATCTGACGTCATGTCGTCGAGGAAAGCGAGGAGCACAAATTCACTCTTAGATCGAGTCATCTAGACTCGACCAGAGTGGGGGAGAGACTAGATAATATAGGATATTATACCCACAAGGCTAAACCGGTCCGTTGACCGGTCGAGGAGGTCATACCGTGGGGAAGTCGAGAAAATCGAGCAGTTAACCAGTCGACCACTCTATCCTTCGACCAGATGAACGGTCGAGCAGTTCAGTCGACCTCGATCGGTCGACCACTTCGCGGACTAAACACTTCATAGATCGGCCTAGTCACAGGCGCGTGAAAGAGCCTCTAACGGAACTTCAGAAGAATATTCATCCCATGTGCAGGAGGGCACGTGTCGAGAACTTATTGGGTGATAGCGACAACCACCCCTGACAGCTCCCAACGCCTCGCGCCACCCCTGACAAACGCGTTGTGTGTCAGAGTACGGACGGGCAGCTTGGGCAGCCAGCTCACCTTATCCGAGAAGCTACTAGGGCAGGTATCTCACCCCTATATAAAAGGGGTGAGCCTTTCTCCCTTAACACAATTTTTCCATTATCCAACTCAGTATATTCGTACACATACTGACTTAAGCATCGGAGGCTCTTCACCGGACACAACCCCCGGTGGGAGAGTTATTTGCAGGTTTCCGACGTTCTACCGGCAAGAAAAGGAATCGATCTACCACAAACCGGACCAGGATGTTCACACTTGCATTAGGTAGGGTGGGCCGATTGACATGGGTAGGGTAGGTGGCAGCGTTTTTAATGTGTGGTAGGATCCATTTCTATTCATGTGGTGTAGAAATTTACCATATTACCCTTAATGAAGATATAATTTTGATTGTTTTTAGCCATTAGATCATCCGATCTAATGCCACGATTTATTCTCATTTCTTTCACTAAGAACCATTCTCATGTGAACCCAACCATATATATATATATATATATATATATAGAGAGAGAGAGAGAGAGAGAGAGAGAGAGTTAGGATCACGTGAGAATGGTGGATGGGGAAAGAAATAAGAATGAATTTGGACCATTAGATACAACATATCAATGATCATGATCAAGTCAAACTTTAATAAATAATGGTCAATCATTAATGGCAATATGGTAAATAAGTATATGTGTGATGGTCAAACATATAAATTTTACACTAATTAAGGGTATTATAGACATTTGTATCAAATACCCTAGCATGTGGGACCACCCCTCACAAATTAAACCTTCTTCATCCCTTCAGCCGTCATTCACCTTCTTCACACACACACACACACACACACACACACACTTCTTAGCACACACACGCAAAAATCGGCGCCTCATCTCCTCAGCGGCGGAGCTCCGCCGCCGCGTCTCCACAGCTCATCACCGGAGATGGATGCGACCGGCAAGGTCCAGCAAAAAACCGGTCGTCTTATGTGTAGGTCCGCCGCACGCAGATTCCTTCAGTCGGCTCCGGCATACAACCACCAACTCTCGCCCGCAGGTGGCAGTGCCACTGGTTCAACCCCCCGTCGTAGCTGCTGCCACACCGTCCGCTGATGCCGGAGTTCGATCGAACCTCCAACCATTAATTCCGCTACCGTCGCCACCAGTCACCCGTCACCGCCGAGAACAGTCCGATGAAGATGAGGAAGGTGCCAGCGATCAGTCAGACTGATTGTGGTCGTCGTCGCGACAAGAACGGTCGCTGATGTTGTCTTCATCGACCGAGGATATGGTTTTGGAAGGGCTGGCAGTGATGGCGGCTGCGGGAGGACGGCGGCGGCGTTTAGTGGCGATGATGGTGTAGGGGCCTGCTATGTTTTGTGTGTGCTGTGTGTGAGGGAAAGTGTGTTTGTG